CTGTAAAATACATTCTGTAAAATACATTCCGTAAAATACTTCTAGTCGGTAAAATACATTCTGTAAAATACTTCTAGTCTGTAAAATATCCTGTAAAATATTCTTTAAAATATTTCTAGTCTGTAAAATATCCTGTAAAATATTCTGTAAAATACTTCTTGTCTGTAAAATATCCTGTAAAATATTCTTTAAAATACTTCTACTCTGTAAAATATTCCGTAAAATACATTCTGTAAAATACTTCTAGTCTGTGAAATATCCTGTAAAATATTCTTTAAAATACTTCTACTCTGTGAAATATCCTGTAAAATATTCTGTAAAATATATTTTGTAAAATATTCTGTAAAATATTCTGTAAAATACATTCTGTAAAATACTTCTTATCTGTAAAATATCCTGTAAAATACTTCTAGTCTCTAAAATCCTTAAAAAATTCTGTAAGATCCTTAAAAAAAATCCATAAAATCCTTCAAAAATTTTGTAATATCTTTTAAAAAATTCTGTAAAATCCTTAACAAAAATCTGTAAAATCCTTCAAAAATTCTGTAAAATCCTTCAAAAATTCTGTAAAATCCTTCAAAAATTCTGTAAAATCCTCAAAAAATTCTGTAAAATCCTTAAAAAATTCAGAAAAATTCTTTAAAAATTATGTAAAATCCTTAAAAAAAATTCCATTAAATCGTTTAAAAAAATCTGTAAAATCCTTAAAAAAAAAATCCTTAAAATCCTTCAAAAATTCTGTAAAATCCTTAAAAGTTCTGTAGAATCCTTAAAAAAAAATCTGTAAAATCCTTAAAAAAAATCCGTAAAATCCTTTAAAAATTCTGTAAAATACTTAAAAATTCAGTAAAATCCTTAAAAAAACCCCCTGTAAAATTCTTAAAAAAAAAATATCCGTAAAATCCTTTAAAAATTCTGTAAAACCCTTAAAAAATTCTGTAAAATATCCTATAAAATATTTTATGCTGTAAAATACTTCTATTCTCTAAAATCCTTAAAAAATTCTGTAAAATCCTTAACAAAAATTCTCTAAAATCCTTAACAAAATTCTCTAAAATCCTTAAAAAATTCTGTAAAATCTTTAAAAAAATTCTGAAAATCCTTAAAAAAATTCTGAAAATCCTTAAAAAAAAAATCCATAAAATCCTTTAAAAATTCTGTAAAATCCTTAAAAAAATTCTGTAAAATCCTTAAAAAAAAATCCGTAAAATCCTTTAAAAATTCTGTAAAATCCTTAAAAAAATTCTGTAAAATCCTTAAAAAAAAATCCGTAAAATCCTTTAAAAATTCTGTAAAATCCTTAAAAAAATTCTGTAAAATCCTTAAAAAAAAATCCGTAAAATCCTTTAAAAATTCTGTAAAATCCTTAAAAAAATTCTGTAAAATCCTTAAAAAAAAAAATCCGTAAAATCCTTTAAAAATTCTGTAAAATCCTTAAAAATTCTGTAAAATCCGTTAAAAAAACCCTGTAAAATTCTTAAAAAAAAATCCGTAAAATCCTTTAAAAATTCTGTAAAATCCTTAAAAAAATTCTGAAAATCCTTAAAAAAAATCCATAAAATCCTTTAAAAATTCTGTAAAATCCTTAAAAAATTCTGTAAAATCTTTAAACAAAAAACCCTGTAAAATCCTTAAAAAAAAATCCATAAAATCCTTTAAAAATTCTGTAAAATCTCTAAAAAAATGCTGTAAAATCCTTTAAAAATTCTGTAAAATCCCTAA